TTATTATCCCAAAGTAGGTTTGGCGCTGCTATGCGGCACGCAGGGCGGACAACTGCAGCCAGGTGACGCCCGAGTACCGCTAAGTGCGCTCGAGGGCTTCTTCACACGGACGTCAAGTGCCACGCCTTGCCACGCCTTGCCACGCCTTGCCACGCCTTGCCACGCCTCCACCACTCCCCACCCCGCAATCTGCCTACAGGCTCTAAACAGACGACATTCGGGCGGAAATGAGTGTTCATCAGACACAAAATAACAGCGTACCGAATCCTTCAACACTCTTAAAGAGTTAGACATTACTATAACACTGTTTACCAAAGCAATAATACATTCATGGTTGTACACGTGTTGCTGTTACACACGCACGCACTATCAAACAGATTTCTGCTGACGTTTTTAGCAGGGCACTCGCCCTGCGCCGGGAACCCGACCAGACAGCGTGGCGTGTCGCGTCCGAAAAAAAACCGGTGTCTGCTTTTGTCTGTTCTGGTTGTATAGCGGTGTCGCCCGGGCCACGAACCCGCAGCGCCTCGCCGCGCCCCGCCGCCAAAGCTACCGCACGTGTCGCGAACAAACCACTCTGCTGTTGTGTTTAAAAAAATAAACAAAATAAGTAAATAGCAGACACCAAAAAGATTAGAAACCTTTAGGACTAGGAGCCGAGAAAGTCCTTGCAGATTCAAGCTTGTAAAAACAGTTAGTTGTGATACAATTCCTCCCATCATTAAAGAGCGAGGAAACAGATCCCGTATGGCCTATGTGGTGATCCGAGATAGCACCCAGTAGTCACGGCGCGGCTTCCCTTTCAAGGCCTGTCCACACTGCACACATTGCATTTATTATTCTATGCGGAGCGTTTGTTTTATCTCGAAAACACGCGAATCTGCGAGCAGACTTCAATTATCATCGCTTATTCTAATTCATAAATAAGAGACAATGTCGTACTCCGATTGCGTGCCGCTACTGAACCGGTACGCTATCACCGCCGCTTGCCCGCTGCCGGTTGCACAGCGGCGCCCGGCGCCTGCCTGCGTTAAAGTTCCCGGGCTAACGAGATGGCCTGCCTCTGCCTCCTAGGCTCTGGAATTAACATTCAGATTGCATATCGCACGCACACACACACACACACACACACACTCACCTACTGGTTTCCAACGGCGAGTGCACACAGGGCATGCACATCCACGAACCAGGGTGCGTTCATGGCGGTTCATGGGGTATGTTACACTGCATTTCCACAGACGCAAGAAGAAGGAGAAGAAGAAGAAGAAGAAGAAGAAGAAGAAGAAGAAGAAGAATGCCAAAAACATAAATTACCAGAGCCGTAAATCATTAATACAACTATTTGTGCCGAGTAGCCATCAGCGCACCTTTGGATTGACGCTCTATTGAGGTTCTTTTTAGACGGGCATGGTGTGGCTACTTTGGCGGCCCGACCCGCTACACACCATCTACACACACAGGCACGCACGCACACACACACACACACACACACACAATCGTGCATTCTTTCTCCCTTTGTTTCCATCCCGCCATTTTCTTTCCTCGGTGCGGTAATTAGTCCATGCATGGCGCCACGTTCGTTCCCACACCGCGAGCAGAGCCGAGCCGAGCCGAGCCCGAGCCGGGGCCGAGCCGAGCCGAACATAGCAGACAGCGGCGTAGGGGGGCTGCTCCGGTCTTCTCTCTATTTTCGACGTGACATCATAAAAGCACCACAGGAGTTTTCCTTTTTAGAAAATATTCTTTCATTTTTCATCCTCCGCCTTCCTCTAGATCCTCGCCGATAAGAATAACTTCTATTAGTGAATAACGGCTTCTCCCCTGCCTCTTCGGCTATAATTCAGCACATTTCCAACATGTTTTAGAATAATCTTCTTACACTGGGATTACCTCTGACGCAAAAAGAAAAAAAACGGCACAAGGTAAAAAGGTTCTCGAACTCGTCACATCTCGCTCCCTCCCCCTCACACTGCAGGGACATTGACATTGCTTTCTCTCGTTAAGTGCCCCCGGCACGCACCTCATCACAGAGCAGCCCTGCCCGCCGCACGGCGGCAGCAGCAGCAGCAACAAGAGGCTGGGCAGAATGAAAAGGACTGGAAAAAAATGAAGAGTGCATGTCGTGATGCCTTCGATTCAGCTCATTATATTTTATGCACCTGCGGCCGGTCGTAAGTAAAGAGAGAAAAAAAGAAAACACTCGCAACGAAACCCGCCAAAAAGCATACACGTGCACGATCTCGCTCGCTGCGCAGCAGTGTGGCAGTGAGTGCTGTCGTGCTGTCCCTTACAGCTGTAATAAGGGAATTTGTGTACAAAAAATAACTTATTTTTACGAAGATTATTGCATGTTCTAAACTTGCAGGCACGTTATAAACGACTGCAACCATTTGCATTTGCGCATGAGCTACCATCAATAGAACCAACCGAGACTAACTGAGGTATTGACTTGAACTTAAAAGTAAAAGCTTATATACATTCTTAATTCACATCTTACTAATTATCTATGTCTGTTATGTGCCAGTAAGAAGAAATTAGTAATCTGGGCGATCCCGAAAGAGATTTGTAGCACATATGTCATTTTTTTCTTCCTGACTCTTGCCTTCATTTAGTGTGAACATGGATTTTGAACTCTTCGAAGCAGTCACCAGATAGCACGCAAATAACTTCGTGCAGTGACTCGTCCCTATCGACAGATCGCCCCATGTTTACACCTGCTCTCCGTTTTTAACTTTTACCTCTTTTTGTGGCCACCCGCCAGCGCGATGAGGTAACCCCTCCGGAGTACGCACAAAGAGCATTGTGAAGAAGGTCCTACTCCTCCCTCAGCAGAGCTCTGGCGCCGGCGGGATCAGGAAGACACACACGCAGGCGCGCGCACACACAACACAGAAAGGCGCGCGCTCGCCCCCTTCTTCAGCCTTGCATCATGCCGAAACATTCACACCGCCCAGGGTGGGAAGTGCAGAGAAGGGAGTTTGTTACATCTTCCGGGGGATATTGTTACCTTCCACCTCCGCCCAAATCCAGCGGCTCAGGGCGGCGTTAATGACTAGAAACCGAAGCATATCCAAAAGAAATAAAAACTTGTTGTTTTATAGCTTTGAAATTTGGGTATTCAGAGGAATGTATGACATGACAGTATTCAAGAGTAGAGGGGAGTTTATCTCTATAGGGACCACCAGGATCAGGATCACATGGGGATGGGGAGGGGAAAGGTACGCCTGCAAAGAAACTACGTTTGTGGTTGTTTGTGTAAAACACAACAGTTTGATCCGCTTTTCTGAGGAGACGATGAGCGTCCGCCACGCTCGACCATCGCACGGCGAGGGTTAAAGAACGGCTATCGTTGTCTTATCGCGATACGGGCCACTGGCCGATGGGGGGTGAGTGGGACAGGAGGAAGAGAGAGGGAGAGAGAAAGAGAGAGAGAGAGAGAGAGAGAGAGAGAGAGAGAGAGAGAGAGAGAGAGGGGGGGGGGGGGGGGGGGGGGGGGGGGGGGGGGCAGCGGCGGGCTAGTCACGCAGCAGGGCAGCACCCTCCCCTTCCCACCGGCTATGAATGGGTATTCGTTCGCTTCGATCACGGGTCCGCACGATTTCACGGGGCACGGGTACACAGCTTGAGCAGTAGCAAAGCAGCCACGGTAGTGAAAAGATGAAAACGAGGAAAATGATTACCGAATCTTGACTGAAATGCAAATAACACAAACCAATTTCACTCCTTCAAAGGCGTCCAAACACGTTTGTTACATGTTAAAAACTATGCCACTCCGTATCTGCTTCAGCCCTCTTCACGCTGTAAGGTCCCTCCCAGCCACCGCCCTACTGCTCGGCGCGCTGAGGCCGGGGAGAGACCGCAGGGCCGCTACGGAGGAGAGGCGAGGCGCAGCCCGGCGCTGCTAGCGGCTTTTGGCGGGAAGGAGCGGCGGCTGCGGCGTGGCGGAGCGAAGCGTGGGCATCGTTAGCTGCGCGTCCCGCACTTGTTAAACTTACTGGAGCAAATCGCGGAGCATTTGCATAGGCAGAGACTTTGTTGTGGTTTTGGAGGCGGGTGGGGGCGAGATAGAGAGGGAGAGAGAGACAGACTGAGAGAGAAAGAGAGACAACCAGAGAGAGAGAGAGAGAGAGAGATGGAGAGAGAGGCCGAGGGCGATGCGCGAGTCAAGGTTTGGAAAGGTGGAGGTGGCTGGTGATGGGGAGGATGTGAGCGCATCTAGAGGGCAGAGCGCCCCCCCGTCAAAGAGTTGTTGCCTTCCCATCCCCTTCTAATTCCTTTTGCGTCCACCACCGACCAAACCGACCGCACTCTAAACGTTTTACTAGAAAATTGAACGAGTAACTTCAAAAGTTTTGTGCTGTTGTATAATATCAAGAGAGTCTTTAGTTTCGCTAAACTTTTTACTAGCGCATTCTTTAATATGTGAAAAAATGAGAAATATCTAGGTATCACGAGCAAAACAGTATGTCCCATCCCATGTCGTTCGTTTTGCATGAGTCAGGGTGTGACGTGACATAAGCATACCCTTCTCCTCCATGGCGGCGTCGTTCGCGCCGACGCGAGGGAGACGAATGCTGATGTGTCGGCGACGGCCGGTGAGGGGCACGAGGACCACGACGACGCATCCCCTCCAACTCCAGCAGCGCCGAGGTTGTTTAGCTCCAGCTCAACCGCAACACACGCCCGCAGCGCAGCGGCAGCGCAGCGGCAGCGCAGCGCCCGAGTCGTGTACTTTACCTCCCATTTTGCCGGCGCTGCTGCCTCTACCTCGGCTCGGCCGTCGTAATGGCGACCCAAAGTGGAGGAGGCGAAACAAGACACGCTGGGCACGCCGATGGAGAGAAGGGGGAGGGGGGGAGGGGGCAGGGCTGAGAACGCGGCTCGTCAGTTTCTGGAAATGTTCTTGCACCCGCCTTTATTCTTTGATAAAGTAAAGTAAACTAGAGAGTGTCGTTTCCTCCTTCCTCAGTAAAACGCCTGCGAGCGCCAGGGTAGGCAATGGCTCAACCCCGCCGCATAGCGCAGTCAGACTTGAGTCGTTAGACTTGCGTCGGTTCTACAACTCTGGATGCATGGCCAACCCAACAACAGTACAGGTCAGCATGACGCAGTGACACTCACTGACCCTCTAATTTTCTTTTAGAGGTAACTTCGCGGTTAACCCGTTTCGTCATTCGGCGAATACATATTTTGTCCAATTTTTCATAGAACTAAAAGGATGTCACCACTGGCATTTTCGTCGCCAACGTCGAGAAGCAGCTAGCATTCAGCGGCGCTGCAGGGCCCGGTCAACCTGCAAGGGCATTGCACCTGGAGAAGCCTGGAGTCTCCAGTGGAGAGGCCGGCCGGTCCGGGGAGTCTGATGGCGCAGTTACGCAGAGGAA